TGGCTGTAGCGAGTCTGCCACAACAGTCCCTCCTGCCGTTACTTACAGCTCTCCTCATCTCTCAACCTTCGCTCAAATCGACTGTTCTGTCCTTGATCCCTCGACCGACGCTGGACACAGCGCTGCAAGCGCTTGCGAACGCCGCAAGTAAATTGCGGGACGCGTATCCCTACTCTAATACACTACTCGGACAGCCTAGTTCTTCTACCTCGTTTGGATTTGGTGCCGGGGGGTTCTCGAGCCGTCCCAACGCCCAGTCTGCGTCTGGCTTTGGGTTCGGTCGGGCAGGTTCTGCATTTGGCCAGGGACCGAATCCTTCGGCGAGTGGAATGCGCGACGAGTACATTCTTTCTCGCCTGCGGCCGCATATAGCGGAATTTGTGTCGGCGTGCTTTTCGTATCTCCCGTACTTTTCGAACGTTGCAGTTCCATCGGCGTCAAATTCTGCCCCGTCGCCTAAGACGCATACGCAATCACACGCGGCGGCTCTTCAGCTGCAGCACAAAGACAAGTCGCATCCGACGGAGACGTACATGTTCCTCTCTGCATTGACCTCACATATCTTGTCGCAACCTCCATTGGCGCAGTCGTCGCTAGTGCCGCAGGTCCTTCCTCGATTGGTGGAGGAATGGAAGGCGTGGGTCGATCGCGTCGATCAGGTGGTAAATCGCGAAGGAGGGATGTTCGGGTCAGAAACGGTTCGCACCTGGGAGAGGGGGCTAGACGAGTATGCAGAGGCGAAGGGGAACGGGCTAGAAGTGATGAGGCAGATACGGGACCACTGGGTGCACAAGGTGGGGTGGCTGGTGGGGAGACAGGCGATGGAAGAACATTAGAGCTGTGTGTGCATATACGAAGGGCAGTGTGGATGAGCTGCTATGCATTGGTATGACCGGTCTCTGTTATCACTGATCACGACATGTTTTTTCTCTCTCCATAGGCACTGGTACACTCATTTGGTATTATCTCATGCTCCGGCCACGCCATCCTCACGACTGTCTGCGTCCCCACTTGTACATTCATTGCATTCATATTATCTCAATTTTATGCCATCCTCCTGTTCCTCTGTGCGATGTGTCGTTCTCTGCGCAACACTCGTCGTGTGCCCGGCGCGAGTCATCAGAAACACGGTTGTGTGCGGCATCTCGGCACGACGCGTCTTCGCGGGTCGCGTCAGTGGCGACACGTGGCAAAAATTCGTGTGCAGCTGTGGCTGGGTGTTGTCGCACTTGTCCACCGTCGGCGTCGCGCAGTCCATGCATGCTTCATCATGCAACTTGTCTTGCGGCTACCTCCTCTCTTGCCTTCTCTTCTGTCCTGCAGACTGCCGCCAGCCGCGCATGGACGCGGACAACGCCCCGGCTGCGAACGTGTCTCGGAGCGGCCGTGACGCGACGCACGATAGCGTCCTCGAGGGCTGCCAACGCCGGCGACGCTAACGGGCAACGTAACGCGCCAGCGGTGGAGAAGACAGAGGCAGAGTCTTCGTGCGTGCATAGCATTTTCGCAGCGTGGAGCCTCGTTGACGTGTAATGACGCGAGCGCAGGTCCTCTTGGACCAACCGAGTAATTATGCAGGACGATGCTGCGGCGGGAACTTTGCAGTCGGGAGGCCGTCTGTCCTACCGTTTGCGGAAGAGGGAGATGTCGCGCCCCGGGAAGACAGCGGCCGTCGCTACTGGCGAACACTCGGACGCAGGCAGACATTACGCCTCCTCCAGTCGAGTGTGCGCGCATTCTGTGAGAGCTAGGACGCCTGTCGCCAACCCCTGGGGGCGGACGCTCGCGGACATCCACCCTGAGAGCCTCTCTGAGGACGACTTTATCTGCCGCGTTCCTGGAGCGTCGTTCGCGCCGCACGAAGAAGAGCCGGAGCCCCCGTGGTCTGAAATTGCTGCGTCGCTCGACCCACCGCTGACGAGTGTCTACGATGGCGCGTTCGCGGCCGACGTGGGATTCAGGCTGGCGGACCCCACGTGTGCCTCGGAGCTGCACCGGAACCTGGTGCACCTTCGGTCATTAAAGCCGCCCGTGGCGTATGAAAGCCTCGTGCGCTACCACATGCACTTTCGCGAGCACGGCTCCACGGGGTCGTACAACCTCATCATCGGTCTGGGCATCCGCATGACGCGCTTTACGGTCGCGGAGCGGCTGCTGGAGCGGATGCGGGCGGAGGGGGTCGCGGAGGACATGTACACGCGGCAGCTGCGCGTGCGCAACATGGTCATGGGCCGCGACGGGTGGGAGGCGAGCTGGCGCGAGCAGGTTGAGCAGGCGCGCGAGCGGG